ACGAAATATATAAAATAATTAAAATAGTTATTCGCTAACTTTTAAAACTATCGAATAAATACGAATACGTAATAAGCTTATAGTTGCAGTGGTTAAAATGTAAATTAACTATAATTTCCTACAAACCAACTAGAGAATTTGAATATACTAAAATTAAAGCAATTTAATTTGATTTATAAGTTGCTTACATGAAAGTTTAATAACTACGCTTTGCATCAATTGTATTGAAAGAATGATTTTTATGTTAGTTAACAAAATTTTGTAAATGAAATTCATTTGTCATTCAATTATCTGATGCCTAAGTCATGCAACATTTTCATTTACATTTATTAGAATTCATTTTTAAGTCAGTTTAGACTTATACATAGTAAATAAAATGCCATAAAGTTAAAAATTCATACTTTTTTTCCTTTGAAAGTTTGGGGATTTGTCGTTTTAAAAAAAAACATTCTTAACTTATTAAAATACTTAATTCCTTTAAAAATTATCATTTCACGCTCCTAATACCCAGCACATAAATATAACCTATTATTGTCTCAGTATCAACACACCAAAGGACAACAATGCAAGGGTAAGCGCAAACTATTACAATGATTATAAAAAATTAATATGCGAAAACTATTATAATTAGACATGTTAGTTTGGATAAGCTGTAAGTACTATTACAAAGGACAAGGACAAAAAGAAGCTGCATTTTTTACAATTTATCATGACTCGTCGTTTTAAGACACTTGATCTAGATAATAGAGAGTTTATGCATACCGTATTTTGGACGTCCGTTAGCTTTTTCTCCCTACCGCGCACGCTCATAGGAAACATTATTACAGATACGCATGCGCAATTTCCTATGAGCATGCGCACTAGGGAGAAAAAGCTAACGGACGTCTGAAATACGGTATGCAAAAACTCTCTATTGCTGCGACTAAGTGGGATAAGAAACGACACAGCAAATTACATTAGTATCGCATTCAACTACTTTCTTGTAATAAATTTTTATATTCAGGGCAAGACTTTGTGCTGTACACTGCAATAAATAATTTCTAAAAAGAGAAGACTTACTCAAGATTGCAATATCGTAAATGAGAATCTCGTATGGTTCATTTCAGTGTCTGGTAGGAGTTTTTTCGACATATCCCGTAAATGTGAAGTAGTTTTTTCTGAAAGTTGATGGCTCAATTTCTCTAAAAGACTATATGGAACTTTCAGTACATAGTGTGAAAATAAAATACATAAAATGCATTATTATACAAACAGTTAATATTTAACCATGTAGGTTACTATTTAAATAAAGTAACATGAATATGGGGCCTGATGGCTGAGTGACTAAAGCTCTGCACCACAGGGTTCGAGTCTAAACGGTATCATGGATGTTTGTAGTGGTTCGGAATTCACTTTAAACCGTAGATCTCTATCGAATAAAATTGTAGAGCGTTGGTCTGACAACCCTACCTGTAAAAAGAAGACATTTCCTGTCTCAAAATCTGCCAGTAGGTAGACAGACTTGGCCCACCATGGATGGGGCTGTCGCGCCAATGAAGAACATGAATGTGCGTAAAGAATTATCTATGGGGATCGGTTTGTCGCTCTACAGTCATCTTGTGCACACGAGGGCTAAATAGACCGGGACCTACAGTTTAACGTGGATTCCGAATCACTAATAAACATCCATGCCACCGCCAGGTTTCGAACCTGGAGCCTGCAGTACCAAAAGCCAGTGCGCTAGGTTGCCATCAGGCCGTTATCTATGAGGAAGTTTAATTAAATTTGAAGGAGATCCCAGAATATTTCAAATTTTTTGGAATAACAGAACAAACAACCCAGAGACGCTTAAAAAAATTTTTTTTTTTTAAGAATTTAAAAAAAAATTACATTTATTGATATGTGACAACTTATATCAATAGTATACCAATTACATATTAAAAGTTAATAAAATGTAAATAAAATATTTTTTATATCAAAATATTTCTAGTAGATAGAATTTGTATAAATATTCTTAGTTATTTTTTACACTCTTGAATTATATAAAAAATACTTCACTTTACTAAATGGGAGTGGGATAAAAAAAATCTTTTAGCATTCAATACTACCGCCATCTATCGACCCAAAAAGTAACAAATCCACTTCTCCACCAAGAAAAAAAAACGGATAATAAATGCGACTCGTTGTAGCAGAAGAAAAAACACATTTATCATTGTCTTTTGTTTTATAACTAACAGAGCAGTGTTTTCCTTAAATGTGTTAGAAAAAAAACATAAATATTTCGTTCATCTCCCTTCGTGTCTTTGATTCTTTTGCGACCATCTGACTTGAAATGATGGATGATACTGGAAACTGAAAAATTCTTTTTTGATGGTAATATTTTTCCTTCAACACGGTTTAGTAATCTCTTTTGGGGGGATACAATTGTACTGATATGTTACTTAATAAAGAAAAAAAAAGGGAGGGGGATATGAAAAAAAGAATGCGACAGATTGATAGAAAAATCTTCCCGAAACAATCTGTATATGAAGAAATATTTCATTCTATTTATTCATTTACTTATATTCACAATTCGGATTGTAAGAATGTAGTATTTACAGTTCTGTATGAAAATTAATTGGTGCAGGAATTTAAAAATATATGATTTTAGAAATAAATGCTATTCCAACGTCGTTGCTGAATGTAAGAATTACTGTTATAATGATGTAAAATTTCTGAAGTTTGATTATTTTACAAAACAAATTTGCAAGTGAAATATTTTTGCTTCATTTTTATATAATTTTATTCTTATATTTTCAAAAAAACTATAACGAATTACTTGAAAAAAATTAAGAATATATATATATTGCACATGGATAAATGTTTGTTAAAATATTATGTTATGTTAATGTTATTAAACGGTTATTTATATTCAAAATTCGTTCATTATTCACAATTCGGTTTGTAAGAATGTAGTATTTACAGTTCTGTATGAAAATTAATTGGTGCAGGAATTTAAAAATATATGATTTTAGAAATAAATGCTATTCCAACGTCGTTGCTGAATGTAAGAATTACTGTTATAATGATGTAAAATTTCTGAAGTTTGATTATTTTACAAAACAAATTTGCAAGTGAAATATTTTTGCTTCATTTTTATATAATTTTATTCTTATATTTTCAAAAAAACTATAACGAATTACTTGAAAAAAATTAAGAATATATATATATTGCACATGCATAAAAGTTTGTTAAAATATTATGTTATGTTAATGTTATTAAACGGTTATTTATATTCAAAATTCGTTCATTATTCACAATTCGGTTTGTAAGAATGTAGTATTTACAGTTCTGTATGAAAATTGGTGCAGGAATTTAAAAATATATGATTTTAGAAATAAATGCTATTCCAACGTCGTTGCTGAATGTAAGAATTACTGTTATAATGATGTAAAATTTCTGAAGTTTGATTATTTTACAAAACAAATTTGCAAGTGAAATATTTTTGCTTCATTTTTATATAATTTTATTCTTATATTTTCAAAAACTATAACGAATTACTTGAAAAAAATTAAGATATATATATATTGCACATGCATAAATGTTTGTTAAAATATTATGTTATGTTAATGTTATTAAACGGTTATTTATATTCAAAATTCGTTCATTATTCACAATTCGGTTTGTAAGTATTTACAGTTCTGTATGAAAATTAATTGGTGCAGGAATTTAAAAATATATGATTTTGAAATAAATGCTATTCCAACGTCGTTGCTGAATGTAAAATTACTGTTATAATGATGTAAAATTTCTGAAGTTTGATTATTTTACAAAACAAATTTGCAAGTGAAATATTTTTGCTTCATTTTTATATAATTTTATTCTTATATTTTCAAAAAAACTATAACGAATTACTTGAAAAAAATTAAGAATATATATATATTGCACATGGATAAATGTTTGTTAAAATATTATGTTAATTTTATTAAACGGTTATTTATTTTATTTATTCTATTTAATTCGACTACCGATTGTGTGGAAAGACTGAAACATCCGTTTTGAAAACGTAAATGGACGAATCGATTACTTGTTAGGGGCACTGGTCAGATATACGCAGCGCAAAGCAATTTTGAAAAAATAAGATTTAATAGTTATACAAGGAATCTTTTTCACTATTAATACTTAAAATTTTAAGGATTATAAATTAAGATTAATATTGTAATTAAAACCCTCCGAAATCACCTTTTTCTCCTATTACGGCGCTCCGTTTGAATCAGTCCTTTTTGACAGCTTTCCAATTTTTTAAGCCAGCGGTGGTCGAGCTGTACTATAGTACCCAAAGTTATGCAATAGGTGGGATAGATGAGTAATTGGGGTACAACTTTGCATATTAACACACATAAATTTTGTTTAACTGGGACAAAGTTCTAACAAAAACCTATGCTTAATAAGATTTCAGTAACAGTATTATACATTCAATTCTTGATAATTTTCCACTCTGTAAAACATTCCACAATTACTTTGAAACAGTAAATGGAAAATTTCATGAGATAGCCGTATATAATACAAAATATATCCTTATCCTTAAAACAATACATGAACTATGCAAAAAATTATTTCAATGTCAACGGCTTCATAAAATGTTAATAAATTCATCTGACGACGCAATGCGTTGCAGCATTTCTTTCCCAGGAGAGAGGAATGTATATTCTGTAACATTTACATAACAGCATATCACTCAAATTTGACAAAAGATTGTTGTTGTTGTTGTTTCTTATCCCACTTAGCTGGCCAAGCCCACGAGCCCATACGCACTCATGATTGAAGGGGAAGGAAGCAGCTTCTGTTATGATGGAGCACCCGTAGGTAGAAGTCTGACTTTGGCTCCGTGTCGCTCTTACAGTCATAGGAAACCGGGACCTACGGCTTAAAGTGGATTCCGAACCACTACAAACATCCATGGCACCGCCGGGATTCGAACCCGAAACCTACGGCACCGAGCGCCAGACACTCGGCCATTCAGGTCCCAAATTTGTGAATGCCAACGGCACGCGGTGTTCCCAGGTGGTCACCCGCCAAATGATGCTTGACTTCGGTGATCTAACGAGAACCGGTATATTCAGCATGGTATGGCCGTTGGCTGACAAAAGATAAGCAATGTTAGGGATATTTATACTTCATGCAAACAGTGTTTTGTGCTAATGAGAATAATCTGTCACTCAAATCTTATAGGATAATCAATGTCACGGATAATGAGACCTCATGAAATTAGCAAATGCCTATGCGACTTTCACAGATCGAAACAATTACAGACGTGATATAGACTACGTGATGTGTTGCTGCATCGTGATTAGTTATAGACGGGTTGAGAAAGTGTCTACTTCAATCAGAAATTATGGAAGCTGATCCTGAATCTTCTAAATGTGAGGTTTTAAGAGAAGAGGAAGCCAATTCTGCGACGAGTCGACAAGAGACGGTTTTTTTTTTTTTTTTTTTTCCTGAAATGCCTGAGCAGGGGGAGTTTCCGTCTGTTTTCAAAGTGATCCCCTTATGGTTTCGTGTATCACGTCTGTGATAATTAAGGTCTGCCGCAGACTAGGTGTTTAGATTCGTCGCATACTCAAGAACTCTGAAGATGTCCGTCCTTGGAGTGAACTGCACTTGTGTATCTAATTTATATCTTTAATCTTTATTTTGTTGTAAATAGAGTTCTCTCTCTATATATATACACACAAGAGCCAAAACATTATGACCACCCCTACATTTTGCAATGAACTCGCCTGGATGACGTGGAAGGCACGTGATCAGGTGGAAGTGGTATCTAACTGCTGCTGGAGAGTCTGAAGAATCATTCTTTCACTTACTTCTGTGTGTGATGGGAAAGGCTGCGGATCAAAGCGACTTTGATAGAGGGTAGATTGTAATGGCTCGAAGGCTCGGGACAAGTATTTCCGAAACTGCACGACTCGTGGGTTGTTCGCGATCTACAGTTGTTAGTAGTTATGCAAAGTGGATGAATGACGGTGAAACCAGCAGTAGACGACATGGTGTTGGACGTCCACACGCTATCAAAGAAAAAGGTCGTCAGAGACTGTCTCGCATGGTGAAGCAAAACCGGAGCCAGACAGTGGCTCAGCTGACAGCCCAATACAATGCAGGGCCAAGTAGAATAGTATCGGAGCACACTGTTGGATATGGGTCTACGCAGCAAACGTCCCACTCGTGTGCCTTTGCTGACCAAGCGTCATCGCCAACTGCGCCTGCGCTGGGCCCGGGAACATCGTGACTGGTCCATGGATCAGTGGGAGAGAGTTGCTTGGTCAGATGAATCACGGTTTGTCATTCATCACGCCGATGGCCGTGTCAGGATACGCCGTCTTCCAGGCGAACAGTTGCTCCCTCAATGTACAGTAAGTCATACACAGGCCGGTGGTGGCGGTATTATGCTTTGGGGGACGTTCTCTTGGGCATCTCTGGGACCCGTGGTTGTGGTAGAGCAGACCATGAATGCTACAGGGTATCTGAACATCATTGCGGACCAGTTGCACCCTTACATGGCCTCTGTTTTTCCAGCTGGAAATGGAATGTTCCAACAGGACAAAGCCCCTTGTCACAAGGCTAAAATTGTGTTGGAGTGGTTCAGGAACATGATGTTGAATTCCAGTTAATGTCCTGGCCGCCTAACTCACCGGAACTCAATCCGATAGAACACATTTGGGATGTCCTGGGACGGTAGCTCAGAGTTTAAAGACCACCAATTCGCAATATCTCGGATTTGCGTGACCGTTGCTTAAACATCTGGTACAATCTGTCGCCGGCCATTTACCAAGGATTTGTGACATCCATGCCAAGGCGGGTTGAAACTGTGCTGCGCGCCAAAGGTGGGCCAACTCTTTATTGACAGGGGGTCATAATGTTTTGGCTCTTGAGTGTATATACAATGCTTGTAAATAAAAATTAAAATGTTTCAATGAACTTGAAAGTAGCCCTCTTCTCGAAGTTAATTGTTCGCACTTCACAGGTCGAAACAATTACAGATTGGGTATGGACTACGTCATGAATTGCTGCATCGTGATTGGGGATAAACCACGGACTGAGGAAGTGTCCACTCCAGTGAGAAGTGAAGGAAGCTGACTTCTCTCTCTTGACGGATTTTCTTAAGGGGATTCTTTTTTTGGAGAAGGATAAAACAAGGAAGTTCTACGACGAATCGATAAGTCTTGTTTTTCACATTTTCTAAAAGTGATTGAACAGGCCTCAGATTCCGCCTGCTTACAAAGCGAGTCCCTTGTGGTTTCGTATATCACGCCGTGTGATAATTAAGGTCTGTCACAGACCAGTGCATTGGATTCATCGTAGAACCGAGAACTCTGAAAGTTTCCATCCTTGGAGTGAACTGCACTTGTGAATTAAATTAAATTCTTCATTTTTAATTTTTTTTTTTTTTTTTTTTGTAAATAATAATTTGTTATAACCCAGAGTTCTGTATATAATACTTGTAAATAAAAATTAAAGTGTTCCCATGAACCTGAAAGTGAACCGTTATAAATCTTGAACCGTTACCTTCTTGAAACCGTTATAAATCTAATATAGGCCGAGACGTTACACTGTATAGAAATTTTTATTTTGGACTAGCGAACAATATAACCAATTTTCTATTTTAAAAAATGTGTCCAATTACGGTTCATAGGATTGATTCAATTAACATTCGAATGTAATCACTGAAATAGATGCATCAATAACATCAACTACTTTCACACAAACACAAAAAAAAAACGGCATTGATATATAATTGACATTTATTTAACACCAAGTACGATAATAACATTATGAATTAATGTAGATTCACAAAAATATTACATTTCGAAAAATGCACATAAAACATATACAACTATTAGGAATAAAAGTTGTAGAAAGATCCAATTTCGTGTGTGATGGAAATACAACAAACTACTAGTAAAATTTCTATTACCATATACACCTTTTGCAAGACAAAGGATTTTTTTTTTTATGTCGTTTTAACAGCTCCAATTTTTATCACAGAATCTAGTGGACTATTCAATACACATATATGCATTCGACAAAATGAATGATTTGACAATAATGCCTTACATCTAATTACAGTTATACAATACCAATATATGAAACAAATGAAATTAATAATGTGTAATTTACAATTTTGTTAATGATATTCAAATTTATGTAGACATTAAAAAAATTTTAAGAGATCCAACCAGCTTACTTTGAAGGAAATTAAATCTATTTGGCTCCCACATTCAATACTGGAGTTCAAAAACATTTCACAATATTCAAACTCAGTTGCATCTCAAAATATTCATCACAGTCGATTTAGGATGGAGCTAGATTGTCATAGAAGGCTAATGTTGAAAATAAATTGCTATTAAAAATATTTGATAAAATGTCTTCAGTCAAATAGGGAGATTTTACAAGGAAGAGTTATGTACATTTATTACATGGAATAAATATTATCACTTTTAAATAAACCATTTAAAATAATTTGCAAGAAGGAAACAAAAAATGCTGTAGTTAAGTAAATACACATTCGCTAGTCTAATTTTAATTCACAATTTCAGAATGTTAGTTTTAATATACATGAAAGGAATATGGAAGAGAGAAAAGTTTTTTTTTTTTTTTTTTTTACTAAGTTTGTCACTAATTGAAAAGATTTACAGATTTAACATGTTTAAAGGAAATATTTAGAGATTTTAATTAAGGAAATTCATATTTAAAAAGACAAAAGCTTTATATAAAATTGCTGTTTAATTAAATAAACAACAATCTAGATATGAGAATAGGAAGTAGTAGGACAATAAAAAGCCAAACATTTAAGTACATTCGTTCTTCATTTTCTGAAATGTTTTTTTTTTAATTCATCTCTATTGTATTATTTAATATAATCTGAGAAGTACTTTAGAAAAACAAATTAATTAAATTACATTTAAAATGTATTTTACTGAATCTGCGACAATCAACCAAAAAGAATATTATAATTTCTAAGAAAATAACAAAAAAGTATTGATATTAATAGTATTAAATTCATTTTTCAGTAGCCAAATTAATCATCAAACTATCTCATTTAAATCTTTACATTAAAAAACATTTTACTAGTTTTCATCAACATAAATTTTAATAATTTTTCAAAGATTGACAATTTATGAAAAAAAAAAAAAAAAAAAAAATCAAAAATTAAAAGTCATACGATTTTTATGCCTTTTAATTTTTTATTTTACTTCATGTTGTTCCTAAAATATTAAAATATAAATATAAAATAAAAGATTTGATTCAGAATCAGGAATTTTAATGTGTATCATAATACCAAATTTCAAACCTCAAAAATCTGTTAACTAAACACATGGTCTTATAATTAACATAACTTTTAAAAAGGAAAGAAAAAAAAGTACAGAAAAATGCAAATAATAAAAATTTTAACCTAGGCAAATGATCAAATATATAAAATATTCAAAAATCTCATTAGCAAAAAAATTAATAGATATCTATATTTAAAGATTTATTAATAACACGATATGACATATTGAATGGCATTTAAGGACTCAAGAAAATGTTGTAATTTTTTAACATGAAAGAATTCGTCTTCCGACATTTTTAACACAGAACTGTTAAAAATTTGAAAACACTGGCATGCAAAATGTTTACTTAATATGACAAGTTAAACAATTTTAGTTTGCAATTTTTCCTTTTTACCATACAGTAGCCCTTAGTAATAAAAACACTCGGCCTTCAAATATATATTGCACATAAAAACATTACACCTTGATATCATCCTCTTTAGAATTATAATTTTGTCATACATTAATTGCATTTCCTTTACATGTTATTCAATTTTTCATGTATTATATTAAGGAATAAGATATTAGTTTATAGTTGATATCATACATGAATTTCAGTGTATTTAATATTGGAAGACTATAATAAGCTTACAAATTTAGTAGTTTTAGAATTTATTTTAAATGTTAATTAAATTTGTATAGTTGAATTAGCAATCTTTTGTCCATACTTACGGTTTTATTAGCACCAAATTTTGAAAAGTTCTTATTCATCACAAAATTTTCATAGATGATTTTTGCATATTTGTTGTTGATTTTTACATTTTAAAAT